TTCAACAGTTTCAGGAGGGCAGATGCGTCTCACTCTAGCCGCCATTCCCTGGACTAAATTTCGTTTTAGATTTAAGGGAACAAAACTGTGAAAATTAGTGTATTGTCCCGTACAGGTTTTCCTTCTGAATATCTTGCGTTGGATGGATCCATCCTCTTCTCTGTGTAGAAGGACATCGAGGAATGCGATCTCGTTATTCGCCTCATTCTCTGCGGTAAACATCAGAGATGGGTGCGACCCGTTAAACTTCTGAACTAGGCCATTGATGTCGGTGGTGTGACTCGTCATGCAAAACATATCGTCCACATATCGTCCTTAGAATTTAAGGTCATCATTGGTATCTTTGAGACTCGTATGCTCGACCTTGCCCATGAAGACATTTTCGAGAAACGGTCTAAGCGGTGAACCCATTGCCACACTGTCTATTTGCCTGTATAGTTGGCCCTGTCGACAATTAGACTGATAATTTCCCTTCTAATTGTACAGGCCTGATGAGGAATTACCGAAAGCATACGTTTACCAAGAGAGTTTTAACTCCGGAACACCGACGTTTGTTGTACCAAGAACGTCGTCGGTTTACTGGCCTTGATCCTTTATGGTTTCGTACACTACAAAGGAGACTATTTTTGCTATTTGAGCTTTTATATTATCGAACGTTTAACCCTCTCATTACTTTAAAACACCTTGTCCACCACCGACAGGTCTTTTTATTTCTTTCTCTGGCACGTACCCTTAAATATCGTCGGTTCTTCTCTATGAACGCAATTGCTATTTGGAATAAATTATTCAGGGACGTAAAAATTCTGCAGAACTACCCCTTGTTTAAGAGAACTATTACTAGTTTTTCCGCATTCAGAAAGACTCCCGCAAATTGTGGTTGTTGAATCCACCGATCGAATGTACCGCAACGATGGCGTTTGTGATCTCTGATCCCTATGGCCGGTCTCACCAGGGACAATTTCTTTAGCCAACAGCGATAGCTGTTCTCCAGTGCTTCTATTTGGTCCAGTCCAATTTCTTGAAAAGAAATGGTTACTGATAATATCAGATGCAGTGCTACCCCTCCCTTTCTCGTCTGTCGTCATTTCATGGACAACAGTTATTTTTTTCCTGAACGCTCCAAACTATACAAAACCATCATCCTCTTAATTTTTTTATCGGGAATTTTTTTTCCTACTGACCGAATGTATGTTTAATCGTTCCCTGAGAGTGCCTGTGAACTGGAATTAAATATTATTATTTTTATTACTATCTCGAAAATTTGGTGTCAAATCTATATCTGTTTAGCGGCCAAAACCGCCGTCCACTCGACGTCCGTACCTCGAAAAATCGATATCTACCCGATACTGAGTAGATGCAAGCTTTCAAGGGAGAACGTCATACTGCACGGAATCTATTATTGTTGGAAAAACGGTTATTCTACGGGTCCATTTCAGACGTCAAAATGACCACTTCTACATTTGAATGTACAGGAATTGCCTCAATATAATTCACATGGAATGGTCCGGAAATCCCAATTCTTGGGTGATTATGACATAATTGGCTAACATCATTAGGACTCTTCGTTTAGGTGGGCAGTTCGGACGTGACTCATCATATGATCTGCCTTTCGCTGATATTAAAGTTTCCTTACCCTCCAAGTCTCCTAGGATTCCAAGGACGTCACAGTCGTCCATCTCTACAAGCGGAAAGATAGTCGCAAATTCTGTGACAACCACCGAGGCATCACCTTGTGGAACACACTCACATTCTCCTCAACCGCCTGAACAACCATCTAGAACAGGGCCTCCTGCCGTAATCGTGGGACCACCGAAATGATCGATGCCGCCCTCCAGATGCTGGACAAGTGTCAGGGAATGTGGACCCACATCTATTCTGCCTTCATGGATCTGGCGAAAGCCGTCGACACGGTAACTCGTGAAGGACTGTGTAAAATCATGCAGAAATTCCACTGTCTCTAACGACCCACTCAGACGGTGCGTCAGCTCCACGATGACATGGTGGTGCGAGTCGCGGACAATGGAGCCGTCTTAGCGGCATTCTCAGTGACAAGCGGAGTGAAGCAGAGCTGCGTCCTCCCGTTTACCCTCCTTAGCCTCGCGTTTTCTGCCGTACTAATGGTCGACTACCATGATGAAAGTCCTGGGATCTGCATCGCCTACGGACGGACGGTCAAGTCCTTGCCGATACAAGCGAAGACGCGAGTTCCAGGATCTTAATGCTCAGAAGAAGAGGAAGAAGAAGAAGAAGAAGGAGAAGAAGAAGAAGAAAAAGAAGAAGAAGAAGAAGAAGAAGAAGAAAAGAAGCGATCGCTGAAACAAGGGCTTTATTCGCCTGACGTTTCGGATTCTCGCTTGAATACATCATCAGAGACAGCGATAGAAAAGGGCCTGCCACTGGCTCTGATGATGGATTCAAGTGAGAATCTAAAACGTCAGGCGAACAAAGCCCTTGTAACAGCGATCGCTTCTTCTTCTTCTGGTCAAGTTTTTAACCGCCGGCGGATGCACTTCCAGTCCCGTGTATCCACAACTACCGTCCATGAACTTCTCTTCGTTGACGACTGCGCACTCATCACCACCTCAAAAGGGGACATGCAAAGGAGCATGGATCTCTTCGTCGCCGCCTTCGTCGATTTTGGCCTAATCATAAACACGGAGAAGACGGTGGTTATGCATCAACCGCCACCCGAAGCTGCCTACAACTCATCCCAAATCGACGTGAACGGCACTCAACTGCAAGTCATGGACAACTTCACATACCCGGGCAGCACCCCCTCCAGCAACACCAAGATCAACATTGAAGCGGCCCGCAGGATTTATAAAGCTAGCCAAGCCTTCGGCCGTCTGCAAAGCACAGTTTGGAATCGACGCGGTCTCCACATCAGCGACAAATTGAAGATGTACAAAGCGGTCATCCTGCCGACACTGCTGTACGGATCTGAGACCTGGACGTTGAACAAGAAACAGGCGCGAAGACTCCATCACTTCCACTTTAGATTTCTACGACGGATACTGGGACTGAGGTGGCAAGACCGGATCCCGGACACGGATGTACTGGCGTGGACAAGAAACCGCAGCATCTATGCTATGCTGAGACAGCTGTAACTGCATTGGAGCGGCCACTTCGTGCAGATGAACGACCAGTAATTGCCCAAGCGACTCTTCTATGGAGATGTCGCCACGGGATCTCGCCGACAAGGAGACCAAGTCCGGCGCTGTAAGGACACTCTAAAGACTTCCATGAAGCGTCTGCAGATCAACCCGGCCAACTGGGAAAACCTCGTCCGAGACCGACCGACCTGGCAGAGAGCAGTGAAGACAGTCGCAGCGATCTACGAAGCCAAATGCATCACCGCCGCCAAATTCGAACAATAAGCTTGTAAGTCTCAACTGCTCCGCCTCACCAACACTTAATCGCCCCTGCTTGCCCACGTTGCTAGCGGACGTTGCGGGTACCAATCGGTCACATTGGACATCTTCGTACTAATTGCAGCACCCGGACTACATCAGCTTCTGCCATCCCGTCTAATTCTGCTTCCTCTCACACGCCGACAACTAACACTTACCGCACTCGACAAAATAAAGGTTCCCAAAGCAGAAGTGGCGGAACGGTGAGCCCAAAGCCAAGATGAGAGAGCTGCTTCCCAACGTGACCTACGGCACTCTTGCGCCTGTGAGATTACGCCGTCCAACATCGGTTATGTGAAATCCTGGTGCTTGCTTTGGAGGGGAGGGGTCAGGTCGTACGTATGGCGCGCGCAGACAGGGCCGTCAGGTATGTCAGCCACCGCACCCATTCTCGCAACTATCAACTGACCGGCTCGGACAGTGACTGAGGCATGGGAATGGGAAGGGAGAGTGAGGTCGACGACTTAGTGCATTTTCTTTACTATAAACAATCCGACGCGCTTAAATCTATCACGGTGCGCTTAAAGTCATGGCTTGGAAGGTCGCCAACTGAGAGGATAACTTGGACTTCGCAGTCGACTAAGTGTTGTGTGTTTGTGTGGGACAGCTGATTGGTGTCTGGATGTCAGGCTGCAATGGCTCCTTAATGTGGTCTTTATACCAATCCCACTCCGTCGGATCCGAGCCGGGTGTGACGGCATGCCCAGGTGCGGCTCTAGCCGTGCCAGCAAATTTTTTGTTGTTGGTTAAAATCCTGGTCATTTGCTGTGTGGACCAGGGGGTGTGGAGTAGCACGCCTAGGTGCGAGATCGACCTGCCATCCACCTGCGCCACCCCCCGCCCTGGTCTTATTGACACTGGGTACAGATGGGAGAAGACAGTGTGCGGTAAATGGTGCGCAAGTCTACATTCACTATAAACGAAACCACGCTCAAGTCACCGTGTCTGTTTCACCTCGCCGTGTAGCACACGGTGGACATCGTCGGAATCGACGGTCGAATTATTAACCGTATAGATATATCTTTGTTCAGTCTTTTAAACTACCTTCACCAAATATGTTTATTTGTTAATTTCCTTCGTGACGGTCGTAAACCTTTTTCGGATTTTGTTCTCCAGGTCCTCTTTTTCTACTGCTTCTTGAAATTTGGTATACGAGATTACGGAATTTCTCTGCCATCATTACGGTTACAGTTATAACGCTCCACTTTGCCCTTATGTGCTTTGTTTCCTGGCGCTTATCATGTTCGTCTTCCTTCCGCATGTGATAAATATCCGGATTTGTGCTTCTTTCCAGCTCTAGCTGTCTTAAGTACATTTCTTTCGTGTCTACACAGCTTTTTACTTTCCTTTGTCTGCGCAGGACATTATTCTACAAATTACATTGTTTTTATTTCCTCATCTGCCTGCGTGCCTTCTTTTTGGGACTGAGTGCATTCCGGCAATCCTATTAGTACTCACTACTACTTCTCAGACGTCAGCAACAGCACCTCTTGTGACTAAATATAGACCGTTACAATTCTACTAATTCACAAATGTCGCAGGACCAATCGCGCCACAAGGCCCAACTCAGCCAAACGCTTTGTCCAACCGGAACAGCCACGCCAACCTGCATTAGAATAACTAGCGGCGGCATGAATAGATTCGGCCACGACGCAGCTTACCTAACTTAATATACAAGAGAATTAATGCGCAAACTTAGATTAAATCTTTACGAACACATATATTCAGGCAAAACTATGACCTCTTCTTCAAAAACGATAGTAATGCTATTTGTTATTTTACCAATTGCAAGTAGCCATAAGACGGACAATGCCGATGGCTACTATACAAATGTAAGTAACGACATTTAACGTGATGACTCCTAAGCCAGGGTAGTCAGTGGCGTCACTTGTCGGGCTGTTGAGCACGTTGCGCTCACCTACACACACAGACGGCCTGCTGTGCTGACTCCCAACTCGTAGAAGTCCGTTTTTCTTTCTACACCCCGTTTGCATCAGGTTTATTTCAAATCGCTGTTCGCCTGTCTCCCGGCACTGCATTTTCTCTCTTTCCTCACCATCGCCTTTGATGCTTGCTCCTGTGTCTTCCTCTTGCGGCGCCTAACTTTGTCGTGTCTTTTGGTCTCCTGGTTTTCCTCCTATTGCAATCCCTTTTGTTTTACTGTGCCATCCGTATTCCCACCTTTAGGTGTTTTGGTGATGTCCCTTAACGCGTGGTGGCACGCGGCACCGGCTGCTCCGATTTTTAGTCAAAGCCGCCTAAGATCACAATTTTAACCCCTATTCCGTACGTGCATGCTTATCGTTTGTAGCCGACCATTTATGACTGCGGTGATGGTGATGTTGCATAGAACAGACACATTTCTCTCATATTCTCTGCCATTTGCATCTGCACGTCTCCTAAATGTTCTGTTTGATATTTTCTCCTACATCCTATCAACAAAGGAACAGAGAGGGGTTATGAAACGCGTCAAGCAAAGAACACCGTCAAAGCAGCAACTGTGTGCGCGCCGTTGCTTGGGTGATCAACGAGTGACGTGCCCGAGGGATCGCGCGAACGCTAACGCCTCGGCCGATCGACTTATCAGTAATCATGCGCGCATTCGTTTGCGGCCATAGCGACGCGGTAGCCAGGGACTCTGCGCGAGTCCGACGGGAGATCGGGGTGGAAGGACTTGAGAATATTTAGCAAATTATTCCCTTGATTGTGAGCCGTTTGTGAGCGAACAGCCCACTTGCCTAGGGACACAAACAGCGTTGGCTCGCCTTCCACTATCTGCTGCGTCAACAGACTTCCTTTTGTTGGTAAAGGCGTTGTCTATTTCGAACGCCGGTCAATTATCTCATCGTAGGAAGAAGACGAATTGATATATGTTGTTGAGATATCAGACGATGTGTACGACGATGATGCTTCCGACGGTACCATTCGCCTCACTTTTTTTCTAGAATTTCGTAAGGTTTCGGTGGCTTTCCATCGTGTGTTACGTCGGTGGATGCGGCCGCTTACACTTTTAAACATTATAGGAAGAAAGAAGAGCAGTTGGGCAGCGGGGCGAGAAAAGGACAAAAAGAATTTCAACCAGGCAAAACGTTCGCACGCTAACGTGGGAGGGCAGGAAGTGGCGCCCAGGGACTGCCTAAACCCGCTCGAGCATCCGATGCTACCGATTAGCGTGTGCAAACCCACGCAGTCATTTGCGCCCCTAACAACGTCATTACGGCGCACATACCGCACAGATACGCTCGGCCGGGCATTAGCGGGCTCGATACGCCCATTGTTGCTATTAGGGTGGGAGCCGAGCAATCAACAGCAGCGATTGGATGCAGAGGCCCTAATCTAGAATCGGCCTTCCTTGCTATTGGGGCGAGGTGACTCGTTCAGGTTGGTCACGTCAGTCGCACCTCTTTCGACATTTCAAGATAGGATTACGTCGAGTCGATATCGACTGCCATTAACGAAGAGGGTACCGCATTCCGAAGCATTTGCGCGAAAATGCCGTCAGCAACTCTGGGACAAAACAGTTTGGTAAGATAGGCTATGTCGTTAGTTAGGCTGCCGGTTATACCAGGTGCGACCACTACTGGTTAAAAGGCTTCCCCCGCCTTGGTCTGCCGATTATTACCGAAGACTGCCAATATTACGCGCCGGTGTGCGGCTGCTGGCGAGGCCTCAGGAAAAAATCCCAAGGCACAACGAGACGAGCGAGTTCCGCAACATAAATAGCGAGCACCCCTCTACGACAGTTCGACCGTCATTTTCGACTATGTCCACCGTGTGCTACACGGTTAGGTGTAGCAGGCGCGGTGATTTGCGTATGAATTAGTTTATAGTGATAGTAGACTTTCGCAGTATCTACCGCACTCACTATTCCTCACTCCGAACCTAGACCCGGCGTCAAGATAGAGGTAAGAAGACCGGAGGCGGAGAGGGCGCAGGTGGCTGGCGCGGCCGGACCCGCACTTATGCGTGCCACTTCACACCCCCTGGTCCCAAACACACACTTGACCAGAATATTTCACCACCAACAACATCACAACAGGGGTCAGAAGGATGAGGATGACTGGGCGACCATGCCCATCACATGTTGGCTGACGCTGGCATAGCACAGGCCTTTAGACCTTTTGACCTAGATGTGTAACACGTGGCCCTGCATTTAGCCTGGGCCATCACCCTTCAAGGGTTGGTAACCAAACAGTCAGTCATTCACTTAGTGTATTTGAGGAAATAGGCTTACGCCTTTTGAACTCCCTATCTGTTACCCTCTCGATTCGTTGCATTTGTCTGAGTATGTACGACGGGGCTAAATCTTGTCAGTTTGCAGAAATGTCTTATAGTGAAAACAGCAAAGTACATGACACCGGTATACAAAACTCCAGGTGCCAGTGATCAGCCTGCTCGCAGTCATAGGCGTATTTTCCCGGCACTAACAGTTACGTGATTGGAAACACTTGAACTGCACGCATGGAAATTTTTAGCGTCTTTTCTACTGAAGCTGTTTGTCTCTGGCACATCTTTGTTCTGGCCACTCACTTGTTCTCAACACCTTGTCCAAATGAGATGTGAATCAATTAATTCTCACACATGCATGCATGCCATGGTAAACCGTTCTAGTCTTTAAGATGAATATAAATAGGAGCGGTGCCTGCGACTTAATTTCCCGGTCACATTATAGTTTTCACAATCACAACTCGACCGTTTGTTTTGTAGAGCCTGACCTGATGTACCGGTTTGTATGCGTCCGGCCTGGATATTCAAAGGCATCATCTGACGGAATCTTCTCGGCTGCATGTAGCATAAGCCTCATTTTGGGTCCGTCCAACATCCTATTTGACCCCGGAAGCCCCTGGGATGGACCCCTTATCACCAAGGCGTTGTCTGTTCATGGCCTGAATTACAGAGACATTGCATTCGTCGTTTGTTCTCACCCACACATTGATCACATTGGCAACTTGAATTGTTTCCCATGTGCAACAATAGTTGTGGGAACAGAAGTTACGAAGCAGGGCCAGCTCTATCAGCACCCTATCAGTTACAACGATCCATTTCGGATTGATGACAAGGTATGAGATGCACGTCGGTTGCGTACTTTTCACCAGGTAGAAATCATTTTTACCCCAGGTCACACTCAATCAGATGTTTCGATCATTGTGAGGGACACCGCGGATTATGGCACAGTAGCGCTTGCTGGAGACATCTTCGAAAATGAGCATGATATAGTTCGGCCTTCCTTGTGGATGAATAACAGTATGAATCCTACCCTACAAGAACACAGCCGGATGAAGTTGCTGAAAGTAGCAGATTACATTGTTCCTGGTCACGGCGCTGCATTCAGTGTATTTTACGATTCGGTCACCGTTTATCTTACAGGTCACGGATGTTGTCAAAATCGATGGACTACCCCCACTACGCTAGACACTGAGTTGCGTTACTTTTCAAGTTGCGATTTCCGGAAAACTATGGTTTGGACTGTTTTCAAGTCTACATTTCTGTACCACTACTTTTGCGATGTTGGCGTTCGTCGTTCAAGGGGTCTGGGCTTTTGGTTATCCAAGTTTCCAAAAACCCCTCCTGGCCATACCAGAACGTTTGCTGGAGTAACCGATGGGCAGTGCTGGAGATCTCATAAGGGAGTAACTGAACTTGTAATTAACTTGTTCAAGGATGTTTTCATCAGTAGTAAGTGTGCTGATCTGTTACTGATGCTGAGAGATCGACCTCACCCAGTCTGCATCAAGAGGGCTATCGGTGGTACAGTATGGGTCATCAGAGTTAGGAGCTAGATGGGACGGTAGTATACTGATTAACTGTACTGCTTAACGCAAGGGGTCCCGATCATGCACAGCCAACCCGTGCTGCTGTTAGATTTTTGTGAACGGGGACGAACGCCTAAAGGCAGAAGAGGCTTTGTGCTAGGAATTAGTAGTCAAACTAGCACTACAGATTTTATCGGCACATCCGGCGACTAGCATTTCACGTCAAGCAGTCTGTGCGAAATTTAATGTGTCAAGGCCTCCAAACTTGAGCTGTCATTGCCCGGCTGTCGTTAGTCTAAAGCTCGTAAGAGTCACTGATCGACATCAAAAACGTTGGCTATATAATAATCCGAATGGCGTGAATGGGGCCACGTCTGGTCTGGCCGGCCTTTACTATGTGGATGTTCTCCACATCGTACTTGTATTTGACACTGCTGTAATCATGCCTGATCAAGCCGGCTTTGATGATGTCGCGGATTGAGTCTTTCCACGCGTGACGATCCGCAGCAGCGGATCTGGACAGTGCGGCCCATTCTCCGTCCAGCGATGGAGGCCGAATACCGAAGGTCTACAAGCCAATTTCCTATACTGATGAACTGTGTTGTGCCAAGTTTCGGTTTGGCCACAACGCCTCCCGGTAGGCACTGGCAGTGGGTCAGAGGCGGTAACCGAGCTCATGGTGCGGACGACAAACAACATGCCCAAACCACCTCAGTCATCTTTCTGGAATGGCCTGGGATATCCTCGCGATGTAAGGAGTTCAGACTGTCTCATTTGAGATGACATCGATGTACTTCACTCGAGGAGTGGTCCTTATGCAGATATGGTCAAACATTTCCAGTCTGTGCTCATGTTCCACGTCCACAGCCCAGCAATACAACCATAAACCGAAGATCATCAAAAATCGAGACCGGGATGGCAATACCGTCAGGGAAGTCCAAATCAGTCGTCGTCCGGGTGCAAAGCCAACACCATCAGGACTTTGTCCGGGCTTTCGAAAATCCGTTCAAGTGCAATTGAGTGGGATGGGCGACAGGATACATCCTTGTCGAACGCCAGATCGAATATCGGACGGTTGGGGCAGATCGTTATGGATAAAACTCGTGCAATGGTCAGGTGGTAGTATATCCTTTATCATGATGATTCATGTCACCATGAGAGCTAGTCCCATCATCCGCCTCAAGGATCCACGACGGACGGAATCAAACGCAGCGGCGAAGTCAACGGCGCAAGCGGTCGTCGGTTGCTGACTGCCATGATAAACGCAAGAATGCGCTGCAGCGTGAATGTTCGGTCCGCGCACTCACGCCGGGCTCGGAACCCGGCTTGCTTGGGCATCGTCCTAGTCATGCAGATCTAAAAACTACAGCGAAAATTCTCGCAGCAACGTCCATGCGACGGTAGTTCTCGCACTTCGTTTTGTATCTTTCGAAGACGAGGACGCGCGACCCCCAGTCATCAGGAACGACCTCAGCTCCCCACGCCCGCTCAGTCACTTCGTGGAGTTAGGACGTCAGTGTCGACGATATTTGTAGATTTCAGCGGGTATACCGTCATCTCCGGGTGCGTTGTTGTTGTGTAACCTTTGTATGGCGTATGCGACTTTTCCGTCAGAAGGGGGTGGCATGACACTTCATAAGTTTGGAGGCAGAAGACTCCGCTTCAGAGGACAAGGTGGTAATTTGGGTATCGAAGTTGAGATGGCATTCGAAGTGCTCATGTTAGCGCTCGATCTTGGCTGAGTTGTCAGTAATAAAGCCGTCATTTGCGTCGTGAAGAATCACTCAGTGCAGAGAACTTACCATTAAGTCGGTGGGTAAATTGGTAGAGTTTTCGAGCGTCACCAACGTTCGAGGCCCGTTCCGTGAAGTACCATCCACCCGCGGCGCCATGCTGTGCGATCCGCGTATCGCGTCAACGATTTCTCCCTGGGAGGGGATCGAGCAACACGGCATAGGATGGAGAGAGATGAGTCTCCTGCAGAGAGTGGGGGCGTGATGGGTCAGTCCTTAAAGTCGAGGTGCTAACGCCAACGATCGACCCTGGCCGAGTTTCCAGCGATAAAACCACAATTTACATCGCGAACAGTCAGTGCAGAGGGTCTACCACAAATTTGGTGGTTTGAAGCCTGCTCGACGGAGGTTGCTGTTTGGACCCAATATTTATGCCAGTCATCCCTGACCAACCTTGCTGTCACTGCTCGGAGTTAGGGGAAGGAATCATTTTTACAGGACCTTGCTTGAGCCGTCTGAGCAGACAGCTGCAAGGTGTCCAGTAATATCAACGCCGCTGGACGAAATCAGGAATTTTCTCAGCTCCCACGTGATAGTTTGGCCGTCGTGCTTGACAGTGTTCACCGTGTGCTCCATAGTAAAGTGAGGCAGGCACTGTGACTTGCGTGTTAGCTTATAGTGAGGATAGACTTACGCAGCCTCTACCGCACTCTTCTCTCCTCCCTCACCTGGACCCGGTGTCAAGATATAGTCAAGGAGACCGGAGGCGGGAGAAGGCGCAGGTGGCTGGCACGGCAGGACCCAAAGCTAGGCGTACCACCATCCCCTGATCCACAAAAACCTGAATTTTAACCAACAACAGCACAGCGGATCAGAAAGAGGAGGGCGACTGGGCAACCACGCTGGCGACCCGTATACTCAACGGGAGCGCGAGCGCACCTAACGACAGGAAACCAGCGGTCAGAAAACTGACGGCATACCAGGCTGCTAAGGCCATGGTTTGCTGATCGTGGCATAGCAGACGCTTACATTCCTTGAGGCCCGCATAGGTGAGACTCAGCCCCGCATTTGGCCTGGACCACCACCCTTCAAAAGCTAGATAAGCAGTCAGTCGCCGACTGAGAAGCAGTACCCATAGAGTACACACACCCTCACATGCGTGAGAGTTTCACAAATCAGTTAAGGAGCCGTGACAGCCTGGCTGTCAGCCCGCTAGTCAGTCACTGCACACAACTGTGAGGAATGAGTTGAAGCGTCGGTCGGTAACCTTCCAAGCCGCAGCGATTGGATCACCGTAATTATCTGAGATTCGGATCACACACAGCAAAGGGGCCGCATGGAGGAGTCGAGAAGCACACTTCCCACATGCGTGGGAGGTGACGATCGAGTGTTTGCCATGGCTGATGTTTGGTGCTGGTGGGAGGTGAAGATGTGGTGCAGCCGGCGGTTGTCTACCG